AAATTTGCGCCTATACAAACTCTACGCGTGACGAAATGCGCGTGGCCGTCCTATTTTTGACACTGTTGATATCCTACCTTTTATTATTTATACCATGATGAAGCCAAGCATTCTGATGGCTTTGCATACTATGGAATCTATACGGTTGTTAAAAGATATTGCGGTATCAAAAATAATGTCCAGATCAATAATTGTCGAGGATCGATCTAGGTTAACGCTGTCAATACTGTAACAGTTAAGAGTAGGATTGTGGGATCTTGTAAAATGCATAGTTGTCCACTTAGAAATATTTATAGAAAGAGCGTTATTTTTACACCTGGTATCAAACCTATTTAGGTCGGACTGTAATGCACAGTTATTACCAGTGTTTCTACTAAAAAACTTTAAATCATCTGCGAAAAGAAGGCATTGGCTTTTAAGAAAGCAGGACGTAACATCATTAAAGAATAAGGAAAACAATAGGGGACCTATATGTGAACCTTGAGGAACACCGGATAGGATTGAAACGTCACATGATACGGTATTTTGCACTATGACACGTTGATACTGATTACTCAAGTAGGATTTAATCCAGTAAAAATAAGAACCAGAGATACCGATTTCGGAGAGTTTCTTGAGTAGCAAAAGTTTTTGACAGATCGGTGTAGATGGTGTCAACCTGGTAACCATTTTCAATTGATGAAATTAAGAAGTCTTGATAGATTGCCAGATTAGTTGATGTCGAGCGACCTTGATAGAAGCCATGTTGTTGAGATGAGATATAGTTTTTATACGTGTAAAACATTTCATCTGTTAGTATGGATTCAAATAGTTTTGGAATTATCGATATAATGGAAATACCTCTATAATTCTTTATATTGCTTTTATCACCTATCTTGTGGAAATATTCCACTATCAAATAATTTTTGGAAAATTTGGCTAAGTGGGATTGACAAGGAGTGAATTTGCTATTTTTGGGATGCTACTGATCCTGTGCTGTTACTGGAAATAATATTCTCCCCGAAGGCTGGGGCTGCCGCCTGCTATCGCGAAAATTAAAAATGTTTCGTTCGATTAGCAGCGAAAACTGTTTGTTAGGTCCAACGAGCGACGGAGCAGGGACGAGGAATGCCGTAACGAGATTTTAATATTGAAAATTTCATTAAGATTATAAAGTTTGTTTTAGATAGTAAGTGGGCGACTTTACAACTTTGATTTTAAAGATTAAAGTTCGAAAATTACTTCACATAAACGTGCTTATTATAATTTTTTTTTTCAAAAAACAAGAATTACGGACTGAAAGCAAAATAGGTCAAACGTGGCAATCTCTCGATACCTACATCACTTTAATACCAGATCATTTGACTATAGTTGAAAACGAAAATAATAGTCAGTAATTAACTAAATTTGTAAATAATGCTACAGTAAAGCCAAAACTATATCTGGATCATACAGTGCTTCTCAAAAGTCCCCTCCTCTCTCTTTTTTTTTAATGGTGATATTAGACTGATGACATTTGGAGGATGAAAATGAACTATTGTAAGCTTCTGTACTAGTGGTAACAGATGACGTAATAGTCATTGATGACGTTACAAGGCGACTGGAAACAATAATATTTAATGAAACCTTATAGCAAGTGATACCTCGTTTGAAAGGTATTTAAAATATCTATTCAGTCATACTGATTATGTTTGGATTTACGGTGATTTTGATGGATAACATAAAAACTATAATTTAATTAATAAAGATTCAAGAACCAGTTCTTGTAATAATTTTTCAAAATGTGCTTCGTCTACTTCCTGCCAGTAAAACAAACAATTCGTTCAAATATGTCAGGGAAAATTGCCCTACATTCTTCAATAATTCGTTGTTTTAAAACGTCAATACTGTCAGGAGCTGTAGCATAAACCTTAGATTTAAGGTATCCCACAGAAAAGATCTAAAGATGTTAGGTCCGGGGACCGAGCTATTGAACCGCTCGTCCAATCCATCTACCAGGGTATCTAGATAACGTCTTACTGCGCAGTAACTGTATAAATGTAAAGTACAATTAGAGTGTAACAAATAATCTGATGTGTCCAACACATGTTTTTCCTGTCTAGTTATTACAAACTTTTTCCGGTGTAAATGTTTAGAGGATGAACTAAATATACCTATACATTTTCCACATACGAGTACATCTTACTCGATACATTTTTTTATACATATTCATTGCCAACGAAAATAACGAAAAATTAAAATTTTTACTACAAAGTTCCTGTAGAAAACCCTTTTTTTCAGTAATGTAGGTTCTTTTAGTAAAGCAACACTACGGCTAGCTACAGGCTTGCCAACATTTCAAAATATTTCGGGTTATAAACAAAGTGTGATCCGAATTCAGCTCTTAGGCCGTACCATAATCCAAAATGTTTAAAATAAACCATTCACACAATATTTCTCTTTATAATTCAAATGAAAAGTAATTCATTTGAAATTTGATGGAGATCATTACATAATTTTTCCTTGCGTAAGTATTTTAATTTTCAATTTTCTTCAATAACAAATAGCTAATTAATAAAGGCATGACTATACCTTACCTATGTCTGGGTCTGACTCATTCATATAGTCCTTAAATTATTCATTCAAGCAATAACCTTACTGTTTGTTTTGTGGAAAGACTTGTATTTTCTTTTTTGAAATGGTTTATTCATTAAGAGGAATCTATGCCCCTATTTTAAATTATTTTTTTACACGTTTTATACGAAATTCTATATTAATTTTTATTCTTATTTTCTTTTTTTTTTTAATTTAAGCTGATTTGCCAAGTTAAATATATTTTTTTCAAATATGCCCTTTTTCAAAAAACTGGTTTCGGAAAGATCTAGATAATGACATTATAATAAAAGTAATTTTACACGTTAATAAAAAAATAAAAGTTTGAAATTTTAGGAATGGTTACATAATGTCATTATTTAGATCTTTCCGAATCCAGTTTTTTAAAATAGGGTATAAATAAAAAAAATATATTTTTATCTTGGCAAATCAGTTTAAACTAAAAAAAAAATTAAAAAAAAATTAAGAACAAAAATTAATATAGAATTTCGTGTAAAATATGTAAAAAAAATTAATTTAAATCGTTTGAGAAAAATAAATCAAGTATTTTTTGAGGGTATTATTACTTTCTCTTAAAACAAAAAACAACCAGAAAGCAAACATTTTAAGTTTTAAAATAGAAGAAAATCAAAATCTCCAAACCATGTATCACGAAATAATACGAGCGGCTATTTCCGTCAGTAAAACAACTACTCCTTTGTCTAATACCACAACATTGACTTATATCCAAAGAAAAACAGCAGGGATACAAAAATCTTGTCAACACCCTAACTTTGATTTTGCTTACTAAGGAGAACGTTATTCAAGGACTAGCTGCGCCCTTATTAGAACTCATCAGCAAGAAATATACCTTCTCGATTCCAATCTCGAATAAAAGCTTGGTTTGAAAATCACTTGTATACCTCGATCTTGGTATAATTCAATGCCTATCGTGGTATTAGTTTGTTGTTTTTCTGCGGAAAACGGTCGCTCATATTATTTTGTGATACATGGCGTGGAGATTTTGATTTTCTTATATTTTACATCTTTACGCCTTTTTCACTGCAGCATGCAGTATTTTCAGATGCAGTTTGTGTTGATTAGTGTCTATCGAAATTAAAAGTGATTGTCATTGGTTTGATGTATTATAGCGTTAAATAATCAATACAAGAGGCATTTTTCCTCAACTTTTTTTGCAGCCTAATTCCTATATACCAAATATAAAACTAAAACACAAAATTACACCAGCATCGATCAAATAGGTTCATGTGGTGTACCTCAGGTAACAGTAATGGGCTCTCTGCTATTTATAGTTCACCTACATGAACAGTATAGCATTCGTTCTTCTTTAATTACAGAATCTCGCATTTATACTATCTGAAAATAGAACAAAATTTTTATGCATAATACAATCTAAAATATTTACCACATGGATATTAGCTTATCTACGCACAGATTACAAAACGAAAAAGTATGATATTGCCTTTAATTGAACAAATATATTTCATATCCATTCTAGGTAGTAAGAACACTGCAAAAAAATTAAATCCACCAAACACAGTTCATATTTTGATCAACCGACTGCCATTATTTTTAAAATTTGAAATAAGTGACAATTCTGTCAAACTAATTGTCAGTATATTACTTTCTTTCCTATCTGTATACAGATATAAGGAAAGTATAGGAATCATGATTTTTTTCGACCTCCAGTTTTCGACGGATTTTTTTTAGTTATTGAGATTAAACATACATTGAAATGAGTTATTCTTGTGTAGAATCGATAAATAATAGAATTTCTATTTTTATTTCGTCTATAATTATAAATAATTTGTTAATTTAAATAAAACTATATGAAGTCAAGCTATTTGCTACGATGGCCTAATTGGTAAAGGAATCCAGGTCTCCACTCGGAAATCCAGGTTCGATCCCTGGCCTGGGCACGCATTTTTTTCTTTTCTTCTCAACTTTTACAATTTGCCACGTATGCACATGTTCCTATTGAGTTAGGTTAGGTTGAAAATGAGTAGGATCATCTCATCGCCTTCCACGGAGACCCAGAGGGATCTATTGTTGCTCATGTCTAACTTATAGTTCATCGTAAAAGCCAAATCTTTTGATGAAGGCCAATTAAGTACCCTGTATAATTAAAAATTTTCCCATTTTAAATAGAATTTATAACTACCTATTTGAAAAAAGTCTTCAATACTGTAAAAATAATACAGGGTGAATCCTAAGTTGATACTTTTTTTAACTATGTATAATAGAAGTCATTAAAATATACAACCTCTTGCTGTTAGGAAATATTCTTGGGTAGTTTTAATTATGGACGAATCTGTGTCTGGCTGAATAGCAATGTGCCTATGCCAAAAAAAAAAAACAGTATTTAAACCCAAATAAATTATATTGTAGTAAACCTGTTGAAAAAATCTCATATTTATTTTCTTTTTCAGGTATATCCCAGCTAGCCCAGTGCGGTCAGCTAGGGGAATTACCCGAGCTTCCAGCTCCAGATGAACAGCGTCTCCAGAGAGCAGCACTAGTTTTGCAACAGAGATTGGTCCTCAGACAGTGGCTTTACAAATACAATTTACATTCCTACTATCCAAAATTGTTACCCGTCGAGGTTACTTCTCTTGAAGACGTCTATTGGCTAGAAGATACCAAAGCCAAACAGGTGAGGATCATAATAGTTTTGGATAACGTTGTTTTTGTCTTTATTAGATATATTTTAATTTTTTTAAAATCCTCGTTGATGAATTAAAAAAAAAAGTTTAAAAAATACTTTGAATTTAAATAAAATATATTTTATTCTACATAAAATTCACCAATTTTTCAGGTATTTAGCAAGGATTTTCCAAAGTGGTCCTCTGCTAGGCAGTCATTACCGATTTCGAAGCAACGCTTGGACGTACTTAAAGCAGATCTTTGGTCTGAAGTTGTCAAAAGTAGCCACCATCAAGACGCCTGGACATGGGGTAAGTCCTAATTGATATTTTAAAGTGGGCCATGAGGAAATCACTTAAAAAATACACCTATAATTATATTTCTTTGAAAGGCCACTAAAGGGGTTCATGTTTTGTCAAAATTAAATTTGCACTACTGAAAAAAATATTCTTTAAGTGCTTCTTTAAGTGCTTCTATAGGTGCTTCTATAAAATATAAACTTAATCGAAAAATATATTTGTTTTCAACGGTAAATATTTATAAACGTTTTGACATAAAGGCGTCATGATCAGTGGCGGGCGGAGACATTTTTGCAGGGGGAAGCGATTGTATAAAAATATAGCAGGCCAGTAAGCACAGCGCCGCAGACGAAAATTTTTCGCGGCGCATTCACCCTTTTGTCAAAATCTTGCTTTTTTTCCTCAGTACTACGGATATTCGAGATTGAGATTTTTGAAGTGTTACTATTACTTTATTACCTAGTTTAGTACTAGAAGCTATAAAAAAACTTACCATTGAAAAGCTTCCTTGGTTTATTTAAATGTAAAAAAAAACATTTAACTGAAGTTTTTTTTATTTTTTCCCGCAGTTTTGGCACAGTTGGCACAGCAGTTGACATTTATTTATACTTAAGATCTATTCGCCTATCCTCAATGGTTGCAAATTTGTCTATAACATCATCGTAAAATTTTGGATTTTCTGATAACAGTTTAACAAGCTGTTTTTCTATGGATATTATGGATAAATTAGAGAGTCTGTCTTCACTTGTTGAATTTCGTATAAAACTTTTAAAACTTGTAGCTGGGATGGTTAGCACTAATTCACACAACTTGACGACTTCACAAAGGGATTTATTTAAATCAGTTGTTATAAGAAAATTTAACACATTGATGGGCTACTAATTTCAGTTGTTTCATAAACAACACTTAACTTCGAAAAAATTTCCATAATTTAATTTTAGTGAATTAAAAGCTTCCGATGGAAATTTTGATGAATCGTAGTTACTAATATTAAAATTGCATAATTCAACAAATTTTAATTCGTTAAAGTTTTGAAATCGAGAGTTCATTTGTTGTAAAAGATTATCAAAAATGTCGGCGTATAATCGAAGATAGGAGGTCTCTCTGTCGTCGACATTATCAATTCTAATTCTCTTGCTTTCAGGTTCTAAGTCAATGTTTTGGGTCTTATTCCAAAAGTGTTCGAACTGATCTGGTTTTTTATTCATTTTATTTTTAAAATCATCAATTTGTTTAATGCAAAAGCCAATGTCATTTGACTGTAAAATTGAAATTAAAGTTTTTTTGAGCCAAGGCAAATACCCTTTAGCGGCAGTAACAGTTTCACCATCCCATGTTTCTTTAGTATCCCAAACGTCTAGAAAAAAGTGTATCAAAGAATCACGGTATTGAAACACTGTTTGCACCAAACGTCCATTGTAGTTCCATCGCGTCGGAGCAACTTTTGGAAACCTTTTTTGAACGTGAATGTCCAAAGCGCGAGTTCTTTTCGATGACTTTAAAAGAAGGAAGCCAAACCACTAAGCGTCGAAAAGAAAACTTTGCAATCTTTAATATTATCCATGCTTCGCGATAAAACCAAATTAAGACTATGTGCTATACAGTGAATGAAAATTGCATGGTTAAACTATTCTTTTACTTTAGCACGAAGGCCTCCTAAATAGCCAGCCATTACGGCAGCACCATCGTAGCTATGGGCAACATTCTAAACTTGAAATAATGTCATAAACAATTTTAAACAATGCATCTGCAGTTCGTTCGCTAGTGACGTCCAAAAAACCTAATAATCGCTCTTGAGGAGTGTCATCCAATATATATCGTACAACAATGGATAATTGACTTAAGTTTGCTACATCTGTGGTTTCATCAAGCGCAATTGATATGAAAGGTGCTTTTTTAATTTCACTTTTAATGTGATCCTTTACAACGTCGGCAGTGCATTTAATTAAATCATTTTGGATTCTGTTTGAGGTTTCTCGGAAAGTCGTCGAATCAATAAAATGATTTTTTAGGGTATCATCGTATTTTGCTAAAAAACTTAGAAGGTCCATGTAATTTTCTCGATTGGCGGATCCACTTGCTTCGTTGTGACCCCTAAAACTTAGTTCATGCTCTCCCAGGAAACAAGTTACATTTATTAATCGTTGTAAGACGTCCCTATTTTTTTTACCCTTTCATTGTGAATTTTGTTGCTTATTTTTAAATGATTGTCCAAACTATGTTCAATGCGATAGGTCCCGAATGTTTTTTCTTTAATTGTAGCACTTATATAAGATTTGCTATTTACATGTCGTTTTACACTTTTGTGAAAATTATTCAAGTCTGTAATACCGACTGAGTTCCAATTTGTTTTTTCGGCTATATTAAAAAGTAGGCAAAGTCAGCAAAACAATTTCTTCAAAGTTTTGAAGGCGGTTAACCATTCATACTTTTCATAGAACCCTACGTGGACACAATTAATTTTCTCATGGGTGGTGCGTGCGTTTACACATTACACCAATGAATTGTTAATACATTTGCGAAGTTTACGTAATGTTTCAGAGAAAATATAGTACCTAATTTAATATTAATTTTTACGCATTGTAAACTGAAAAATATCTATTTTTAAATCTCTTAAGTGTAGGGAAGCGGTGCATCTCCCGCTTCCATTGACCGCACGCCCCTGGTCATGATCCTTTGAGCTGAATAATTCAGATCCGCATTAAGGGGTTTCAATAAATATTAAACATCAAATATCCCAGAAAACAGATTTATAAAAATTACAATACTTGTTCGAAAAAACAGTGATTTTAGGGTCGAATATAAATGATATAAAATATATTAAAGAAAATAGTAATAATTTGCTATTACTCTAATTAAAATTAAAACTAATTTACCTAACATGTGCAGCCTGGAGTCTTAGCGGGTTGCTTCGCAAAAAATTATACATAAAATAAGAAAAATAAAAAAAAAACTTGACAAAAGTCGAACAAAACAATTTTCGAAAAATAGTATTTTCTAATTAAGGTTTTTCGAAGAAACTTATTTTCGAATGAAGGTTTTTCGAACGTGTTTCGAGCAAAATTCCGCCAACCCTTCATGACGGCTAGACATGGACATGAAGTGAGGTTCAATTGCATAGCTGCGCCACGTCATAAAACTTAAATATACCCGCATGGAATTACAACGTAAACCGGGTCTTCAGATAATTTATACCGCAATGAGATATCACTCCGTGTTGCAGTTCATCCCCTAATCGTATGCATAAACTGCGAACTGCTCTTTTTTGTGTTTTCGGTTATGCCGGAATCTCAACAAAACGGCTCTCCCTGACTCGAACGTATAATCTCTGGATTTACCGTATAATTCCGGATAAACTGATTTATTCAAGAGGATTACCTACGGAAAACGAGGAGCACTTTGCCAGTAAAGCTGATTCATGCCTTTTTGTAAAGTACCTCCAATTTACTCGCTCTAGATTCACTTAATTTGTTGGTCTCTGTGAATTTTTTTTATGAAATCCAAATAAAGGTTAGAATAAAATTTATACTCAGTTGCAAGAACTTTATTAGATTATGCTAATTTGAATTTTATGTCACTAGATAGTTTAGGCGATTCGAAATGTGATTTTGCAGCTATTTCATAATTAAACCAATAATCCATCTATTAAAGACCCTCTCTAATTAATTAATTAACTTTATTGGATGATCTGCTGGATTCACATTTTTTTGTTTCAATAAACGGTTAAGCTTTATTGACATTTTTGCACACAATCGAACTTGAACTAGTCGATGGATTCAACTAATTTCTCGACGGTGTCGGTGGTGTTAAAGACGAAAAAGTTTTTCCTGTGAAAGTAAAGAACAGACTGACGAGTTACCCTGGTACACTATTTTATATAAAATCTAAAAAGGGGGTGTTAATTGTGATATTTATAGACAATTTTAGGTTCGCTAATAAAAATTGGTTTTCAAAAAAATATTACAAAACTTTACAAAAAGCGGAACTTTAATTTTATGTCTTTAAAATGTAAAATCTAGAAAATGCCGGCAACGAACTACAGTCTGTTCGCTATACTTACGCGGGTTTCGGATTAACAAAATTATGCAAATTAGTCATTGACAACCAGTTCCAATAAGCCTCTTCCCAAGAAATTAGGTAAAATTGCCCTAATGGTCAGATTTAAATTAAAATAACATTAGGGTAGGTACTAAATTTGTTACAAATATTGCAGTTGAATTGATTCTTTGCAAGTGTTGACATTGTATGTATATTGTAAATTTAGTGGAAATTTTAAAAATCCCTAGTCTAATTTGTAGTGTAAATAAGTATTTTACGGATGAAAAAGAAAATGGCGGTCCTTTAAAATCGGTAATGTCTGTACAATAACGCGTATACGATGCTCTAGGAATTAGTGAAACCAAATTAGGAGGAGTATTACAAATTCACAATAGTGAACTGCCGAAAGAAGATCACCGCAAAACTCGCCCATCATTGAAAACGAAAGATATTCCAGATGGAAAGAAATTTGAAATTCGTGATACCATTTATCGAATGAGGGCCAACAAGGAACATGTGACCTTAAATACAATTCTCTCGGAATTAATAGATAGAAAATTTGACGACATTGGCAGAACAAGTCTATGGTAAGTGATACATAACTTGGGTTTCAAATTTCAAAAGGAGGATAACAGAAAGGCCCTTTGTGAAAAAAGTTATGTCGTGCACAAGAGAATTAACTTTCTAAGAAAATATTCTACATTTAAAGAAGAAGGGGCGAATTTTATATATTTAGAGTATTTAGACGAAACATGGTTATTTTCTAGGGGTGCAACCAAGAGAATATGGCAAGATGATAACGTAAAGTCCATCAAATATACCGATGGAAAAGAGAAGCGACACATAATTTTACATGCAGGAGGGAAATCGGGTTTTATAGAAGGTGCTGATTTAATATTTTCATCTAAATCAAAATCCAGTGACTATCACGATAATATGAACACAGAAATGTTTGTAAAATGGTTGCATGAAAA